TAAACAAAAATTTTCCTTGGAGCTTTTTTTTTTAAAGTTTTGCTGCTGTGTACCAAAAACATAAAACTTGCCTTTCCCCAGAGTTAAGGATCTTATTTGAGCAGGAGTATTTACTCAGGGAGAAGGTGCTATAAATGAACACATAGGAAGTGGAGCACAAAGAGTACTTCAGGCTGGTTTAGAGGAAACTGAGACCTGTTTGTGAAAAGGGGATTTTATCATTTCTTTTGCTGTACAAGAATTAGAGAATAACTAATTTATTTATACCTGCARATGTTGTCTTCACTTGGCTGAATCACTGCAGGCAAAGTTTTATTTTTATGTATATTTTTGGGCACTCTGATGTCTTGTAGCTGTAGGATTTTTAAGTAAATATGTCCATGACACATTTTTTACCCATTCCCTACAGCTGCACTCCAAATGAAGTTGTTTTGTTCCATATAGGAGACCTTTAAAAAAGAAATAGGGACGGGAAGGGACAGAACTCCCAGAGAGGGACCTGCCTTAAGATGGAGGTCTTCCTCCCAGGACGTGACTGGCTGTTGGCTGGAGGATGCTCAGGAAGGCCTTGGCAGACCAACAAAGACAGCCCTTCAGCTGCAGGGTGTAGTTTTTCAGGCCCCAGCATCCCCTTTGGCAGCAGCACAGAGAGCACTGGCGTGCACAGGCCCCCGGCCCGAGAGTACAGAGAGCACTGGCGTGCACAGGCCCCCGGCCCGAGAGACAGGGAAGTAAGGCCCGTTCTTTTATTTACTCAGGCTGCTGCTGAGGCCTGGGTATTTCTTGTCTGGGTGAAGAAGAAAAAAAAATGAAACAAGTCTCTGTCTTTCTTTTTCCTCTTGTGGTCCCCCGAGAAAGAATATGTTCTTTCATCTACAGTTGTTCACACACTTGTTTCGGCCATTGCTCCACTATACATGTGCATGCCATGTGTGCACTTTTTTCTATACTTTTGTGCCTATGTGAGAGAGTGCATTGTGTGCACTGGAGCTTGCTCGTGTGTAGTAAAAAAGCAGTGTGATTTATGTGAAAAAGTGTATACATGCTTTACTATATATAGTGTGGCTTTTGGAAAGGGGGTCAAGAGAGAAACAGTGTGTGTAACACATCAAAACATTTTTTGTTTGTTTTTATAAAGTATTTAAAAAAATGAAACTAAACTAAAAAAAAGGTTACTCCATATTTTATTAATTTAAAATGTATTTTATTGCACAGTAGCACAAATGTCCATCAAGAACAAAAAACAAAACAAAACAAAAAAAAAACCGGACCAATATGACCACAACCATGCACTCACATTATGTAATTAATTAAGCCACTATTTTTCCTTTTTTTAAAAGTTAATCTAGTACACATTTCTCATTTTATGTTTTAGTCAGAAAAATGTTATGGATAAGCTGTGAAGGACTTGATCAATGGAGCAGATGAATTTTACAAAATGGGAGTACAAACTTGTGATTTTAGTCGACTTTAACACATTGTTCCCAGAAATAAAACAAACTCAGGTGTTAAAAAAGTTATATGAAAACTATTCCACACTCCCCGACTGAGCTTTTACTTG